TCAGAAGATACAAATGAGAAAATATATAGTCACAGGATGGAATACAAGTAATGAAACATTAGAAACAAAATCTGAACTTTAATGATGATGCTTTCCTTCTCTTTGAAGTATTTTATTACAATTGGATTGAGTTTTGCATTCTCTGATCCTGTCGTGATTTGCTGCATTTGGAGGAGCCCTTCTAAGAAAAACAAAGCTCTGTACAGTACATAATGAAGGAAGAGAAAAAGCAGTAGAAGTCGAAGAAATAAGGCAGAGGCAGCAGTTGCTCTGTTTTACTGGTATATGGGAAGAAGAGTAAAGGTAAACTACCTGAGGGCAAACAATCAAGGCCAGTTATCACAGAATATAAAGTGCAATGACACTAAATTTACATCATGTGTCACTAAGAAAATATGCACTTATATTTAACACATAATATTTAGATGCTTGTTCATAAATAGAAAAAGCAATAATTTTTTTTTTTTAAGTGGAGAGGGCAGGTGTTTTCAAAAATTCGCGAACATTTTTTAAAGCTGTCTTGATTTCCACTCTACCATATTTTTCCTTCTGTTGTTCCTTTTTGCTTACTTGGTGCTAAAGAACCTAAATATTGTACCATCACTGTGGGACAATAATGGAAGATCTGTTCTATTTCTATGCCGGTAACTTGCATCTGATGTGTCTGTCGCATCTTGATCATAGAAAACAGACACCGATTTTCTCCAGTTTAATAGAGAGAGACTGAAATCTTTGTTTTTGAAACAGAAGATTCAAAGTTATGGTCTTTAAAGCACTGATTGGCCTTGGCTCTAAATTCATCTTTAAGTTGCTACTAATGTGTGAACTTTGTAGACACCCTGAGGTCATCAGTGACCTGTTCACACAGTGTTCTCAGGACTAGAACTGTATTAGGAAAGGTAGTCTTTAGTTTCTCAGCTCTTTAAATGGCCTGAAAACCAGAAATGAACAAACAATTGTTGAATTATTTAAATAAGAATTAAAAAACATTATTGTTTACTGCTAAATTCAAAGACAGACTTTTTGGGTAACTTTGACTGAGTCTAAAAAGTTTAATTCTAATTTGCATTTCAGTGTTTATTGAAAATAAAAGGATAATCATATAGAAAAAAAATACACTTTTGATTTAATATTCCTCTGTTTTATTACATTGGGCCCATTGCCTTATATTCTGGTCATCAAAATAATTTCCAGCCACTGGTTAATGTACCTTTCCTTTTTCAACCAGCCTGTTGTTTATGTACAATATATGGTGTTCATTTTGAAATTTCCCATTCGAAAAGTAGATATTCTGTATTTAGCTTTTTTTTTTTTTCTTGCAGAAAGACTCATTTGCCTTGTTGCTTATTCAGATTTTATTACCTGACCTTTGGCCTGGCTGTTCTAGATTTGGGTTCTTCAACTTTCATCACGCTCTCCAACACAGATAAATGTCAGGATGCCATAACTATCAAATAACAAACCTTTAAAAATAACAACAGGATGATCAACAAAGAACATGTATTGTCAAAATCATTGCATAAAAAAAGATCTATGTGGACAAAAGTTTTCTTGATTGACATGAAGGAAAATGACTGCCAATTGTCCCAGTATCCACCATAATCTGCTAAAGGTTTCAAAGAGAAGAAAATATGATTTTTATTTTAACTTCTAATAAAAGCCTTTGCCATGCAGCCACATCAAAGCCTGTTAAAATATGCTTGAAAAGGCGGCTCACCTCTGATGGAGAGCATCAGACTGTAGGCAATCCCTTTCAGTTGACAAGTTTATACATAATTCTGGTTCATTAAAACTAGTGCATGACAGCAGGACCTCAACAAGTCTTTAGTCGGTTACTCTGACAGAAACGGAAAACATAAAATGATCAAATAAAAAATAAATAAAAATAGATGAATAACACTGGTGTTCGGTGTCTCAGTTGGATAAGTTCAAAAAGTAATGAAACTCCACAAGGTTGAAAAAGAAAAAGACAACAAAAACTTATTGTTATTTATGGTTTCTATACAATTAACTTTATTTTCAGTTAAACAAAAGGTACACACATTTTGATTATAAAATGGTAAAGAAATATGGTGATTCATAGAAATGAGGACAGATGAATTTTGTGGACTCAAATTAACAAAAACACTAAAGTAAAAAGTAAACATGTATTAAAATATATAAATATATTATGGAATATATATATATATATATTTTTTTTTTATTATCTGGACAAGAATTAAAGGTCTTATATGTTTTAATGTCATATACATATGGAAAAATTAAATTAATACAACATATTTCCTCCTCTTGCTTTTGGCAAATGATGCACTAATTAAGGTGAATGCTTCATTGTTCCTCTTTGCAATAAGTTTGGAATTAGTTTCTGTGTACGGAGGCTGAGGGATACAAATATTATGCAAATACATGAATTCACAAATTAAAAAGTCCTGCCAACACAAAAAAAAAATAAATTGACACAAACACAGCAAAACAGATGTGGGAAAACTGCGGCAAAATAGAAACACTAGTCACAGAAAACAGAGAAGGAAAGTGAAAACATGCTGCAAACACAAAACCTACTGCAAACATAAATTATACAAACATATAAAACACATGCAAAGGAAAAATGTTTTAAGTAGCAAAACAACTGCAAGTTGGTAAAAAAAAAAAAAAAAAGCTGCAAAATAGCACTGCATAACGAAGTATCAAAACATAAGTGCTCCAGACCACTAGGGGGAGGCCATCATTAACTTAAATTGAAACAGACCATTGGTAAAGGAACAAATAAAATGGTTTAAAGAAATTAAGTTTTTTTTTTTTTTTTTTATACAAAGAAACCTTACTTTTTCTTTCTTCCGACCAAATGTACTCTTTGTGGGTATCCAGTTGATGCTTTTGAAACAGAGGTGCTACATAAACATTAAAGGTATAGAGAACAATCTTTCATTTCCAGATGAATCATCTGAATAAGTGGTCCTCCTAATTGTCAGTCATTGTAGTGATATATTAACGTAGGCCGCATTACATGCTAATCACGTTAGCTATTTTTTTCTACGCATGTGCACTTTCAGGCTATCTGTGGTGAGCTATGATTTCAGACAGTCATTGAAGCTCACCTTTGTTACCGTGGTTCTTTGAAAATGTTGTAAGATAAAAAGTGTCTACGAAGTGTATGAGAAGAAAAGAAAGGCCTTGAAAGAGGCAGATATATCCTGTAACCAACAGGGAAGTGATCATCTATTAGTAAGTTGACTGAGTTTGCTATAAAGTCCACAATATAGTCCCGCTCTATATAGTGATTGAGAGATTTAGGGATTAGGGCAGATGTTCAGGCACAGTTAGCTTGCATGAGCTATGAGAACAGCAACTTTAAACAGAGTGGCACGAAGACAAATGGGATCGTGCATGCTCTCGCTAAGTGGAGAGCGCGGGTCTTTTAAAAAATTTGGGGAAATCCTCCACAATACCTTTAATTTGTAGCAATGTCTATGGTCTGGTAACAAATGGGTTGATGGCCATCTACCCCTAATGGTCTGGAGGGCTGCAGTTATGCAGAACTAGTTTGCAGCTCTTCTTAACATGCAGTTAATTTTTCTACAGCATTCTAACTTTGCATGTTTTCTTTAGTGTTAGCTTAATTTTTGTATGTGCTAGTCTAAATTATGTTTCCAAGTTACTTTTTTTTTGTTCAAGGAGTTTTTTTTAAATACTTTTTTACATTCCAAATTCCAAAAATATTACTATGATAATGAACAAGGAATCAAAATTAGGTGCAGAAGATGCAATTATTGCATGCATCTTAAATGTGAGACCACCTGCTGCTTCTACAGCTGCCAGTTGTTCATTTATAAGGTGACTATGACGCTCGCAGAGATTTCAATAAAGTAAACAATAAGGTAAAACTAATCAAATGACAAATATATTAAAGGGACTGCTGCTCGAAAAAGTTAGAACTGTAAATTTACAGTCATTTTTACTACTTTTCGAGGCTGCACTTTTAAAAAGATGAAATTGTCCAGTGAGCTGTTTCCAAACGAAATTTCTTTTTGTTTTACACTTGTGCAGACAAAATGACAAATAAAATCTGTCTAAAAGTCTAAAAAAAAAAAGTATGTGTAGCATGAGTAGATTATCTCTCTAGGACTATAAATTAAGGCAAGTGTAGCCATTGTGTTTTGCTATTCATTTTGCTACCAACACATTCAACATAGGCCCCTTAAACATTTGGTTATCTATGCATTTCAACTGGACTACTTCTACTGTAATTACCATATTTGACTTTTGTCATGATTTTGGCACCAATGACTGAATTAATTACTAACTCGATTCACCTGTCTAACTCTAACCTGCCTGGTTTCTAATTAGTGCTCATCTGAACCACCAGCTCCTGCCTCTATTTAAGGTGATTGTATCCAGTCATCCATGCCATAATATTCTTGTTCTCTCTAGCCAGTGGTGGGAGTGTTTTCAGAGTTCCTTGGTGTTTCTGATTTCATTATCCTGACCTGTTCTGCCTCTCAACCACTGAGCCTGCCTGTCCCATCTGATCTGTTTGCCTGAACCGTCTTTGGACTCCTGGATCTCTGATCCTGTCTGTTCCTGTTCTCTTCTGTTTGCCTGACTTGGCTTTGGACTCCTGCTTGTTCTCCGTTCTCCGGGGCTGTAGTGTCCGGGACACTCTGGGCGGTGCCCGCCGCATCTTGTTGGCAGCCCACTGACTAGATCCTACCTCGTTCTTAGAACATGGGCTGAACTGTTAAACCAGGTTAGTGACTCACACGTTCATATAATCATCTGTTAGATTTAAGTAGTGACTAACCTGTGTTTCCTTTTACAGAGTTTCCTGTAATAGAGGCCCTAGCCGCTGCTACTCTGATCATCTGTATTTTAAAAAAACACTTTTGAATTATCCCTTGCCTCGAATACTGGCTCCTCTGTCACGACAACTTTAAGTTAACATATTACAACCTAGACTTGTAAATTGACTCATAATTCCCACAAATAAATAAAGCACTTACCATACTCTTGTTGTGACTTGCAGGCTACATTTAAGTGGGTGGAGCCAAAAGGGTTTCTGACAAATCTCCTCCTCCGCCTCAGGTCATCTTCCCAGTAATCGAGACGCCAGAAGTCATGCAGCTCACTATGAGTCAAGAGGATGGACAGATTAGACAGATAGGACACTTACAAGTGAAGGCCAGATTAGAGTGGCTGCTTTAAAATCCCACAAAACAACAAAATCAGACCAAATACAGTGGGCTTTATTAGGCCAAACTCTCCAGAGGTCTAAGTAATGTCAGCTCTGCAAAAGCCAATAGCATATCAGCGGGGAGCAGCAGCAAACCTGGTACACATAAATCTTAGGCACCTCCATTTACAAATACAGCTTCAAATTACAAGTATAAATGACACAGCTTGCCTTCTTTTTTTACAATGTTTTTTAACAAGTCTTGTAAATCAAAGGTAGGAACCTCAACGCAGACAGCGTGGAGTTTAATGATCAGGGTCTTGGGGCGGCTGAAGCATGGGCCTATAAAACAAACCCTCCCCCCACCGCATATGTAGAGCCATGATTAAAATAATGTGCTGAAATATTCATTGAAATGATTCCCAAGGCCCTGGAGCAACCCAACAGAAAATTGCATTTTTATTCATTATTAATAACGGCGAATTAAAGCCATAAAGAAAGAAAAAAAAAAGAAGAAAACAGTTCCAGCATGTGGTAACCATCTTTGTAAATGATTATTCCAACATAAGTGAGGACCCAGGGATAATTTTATGGCTTGCAGCTAATGCAAACCATTAAGCATTGGGACAAGCATTAGGTTTCTAAGTGTAGCACTTTTCAAATGTGTACTTGTTGGGGCCAATTCGAAGCCTTCATGCTTTTTACACATAAAAGTATTCTGATTTTTTTTTTTTTAACTCATAAAATGTAATTAATATAATCAATGACTGGGTACCAACTTCTTTTGTCAGGTGCATCAAACCTGCAATATATCAATCACATAAATACTATAATATCTTAAATAAATGGACAATTTAATGTTTCTCTTCTTGTTTTACTTACCAGTTCAAAGCATATCATGTTATAATACAGATCTTATATCTAACGTACAAGGAAACCAGAGCTAAAAAAAATCTTGAATTAGGTAAAAAAAAATGCTTTTAAGAAGTTATTTTTAAATGTGTGCTGTTTGCCACAACATGTTGGAAGGTAGCCTAGTAGTTTGTTCTGTTTTCGCCCCCTTTCTCAGCCACTTAGTCTAAACAGTCAGTCTAAACAGATTAAAGTTTTAGCAGGGATCACATCACAAAATACTGCCTTTCTGTTCTGTGAATATAATATCCAGCAGTGTCAGAAATCAAAAGGCTCAGGAGAATTAGCGGAGGCCTGACAGCAACAAGGGATCAGTTTCAGTTAAATATCAGTCAAAAACGGGTATGAGTCGTGAGTCTGTCCAAGCAACTGCAAATGTTGTGTTCACAAAGTACCATGAGATGGTATATGTAAAGTAAGGCTGAATGCCTTTAGCTTGTCCCCTGCCAATCTCCTCCGAAGCTTAACTATGAGGAAGACAGATGTCAGGGGGTGTAAAGGAGACACCCACGTAAATTATATTGTAAACTCAAGATTACGCAGTGTAAAAAATTTAAATCCACTGGATGCAACTGCGCGATTATTTTGGAAGATTATGTACCCCTAATTCTTAGAGGAGGTAGAGAGAGCAGATGCCAGTGGGGGATAAATCCGTTCTTTGAAGATTTCCTTAATGCAGTATTAACAGTTATAAATGCACTTGCTTTCAACTGGTACGCATAAAATAGCTAGTTATAGTTAAAATCAGAGTACCTAAATGCAAGAGCACAACATAAAACACCTGCAAAAGTTTCTGTGCAAAAAAAAAATAATATGTTAATGCAGAAACATTTTTTAGACATTGAGTAAGACTGGTAGTGTTTTAGGTTTTCAAGCTGTGATCAAAGTTATATGTGGTGTTGCATTTATGGTCACCACTGTAGTTACCCTACAGCCACATCCATCTACAGCACATGCACAAAACATTCACACATTACCACATGTACATCAACATACACAGTAACACTAGGAAATGAGGGGTACCGAATCTTAGCAAAGGACATTTTCACATATGGTGGGGGAAGTTGGAATCACACTTTCAACCTTTCAATTATCAGACAACAGCTTTGCGATCACTGCCTCTCAACACGTGTTGTGCCTTTAGGAGGGCTAAGAAGAGGGTATTTATGATTTTAATTAGGGAAGATGAGTCAGCTCCTCTAAATCTGAGACCATGACTCTCAACTGGAATAAAAGGGATTACTTCTGTGTTGAGGGTTAGCTAAATTCATTGGTGGTTGTTTATGAGGGATAGTAAAATGAGAACATATATTTAGGCCATATCTTCAATAATGTAGGTGCTGATCTGGTTTCCTATTGTGAAGCAAGAAACTACATTTTGACTTCTAGTTATAGTCATAAGACAAGAATGACCAAGACAACGACACCATGTGTACATGTGGAAGATGTAGTTTCTTCTTTAGGATTGCTGAAGGAAATGTTTGTTTTATTAAAGGTATCACTAACTTTTATAAGATCAGGCTTGACAAAAATCCTTTCTGACAAGAAATTATGTCATAGGCTTGGCTCAAATAATATTATATGAAAAGGGGAACTTTCAATTTTAAATTACAAAAAAGCTATTAAAACATCAGCCAACCATGCAAAGCCAACGCCATTTGTTTTGCATTTTAAAGACATGAACTAAACAGGCATACATTTTGTATGTAGCTATTATCAGGCTAAAGAAATGTCTTTCAATAAATGGAGATTTAAACATTTCTTTAAAAGACCAATAGGGATTTTAACACTTAGATCAATACTATCCAACAAAGATTCAAGGGAATCTCCAGAAAGAAAGATGACATTACATTTTCTAAAATATGTGTTTTTCTGTTTTGATTTTTTTGTTTTGTTTACTGTATTTCTTTTTTTTTTATTTCAGGCACTTCATTGTATTTCTATAGACAATGTTAATATCTGTGCAAATTTAAGTAGAAAGCAAAAAAAAACAAAAAACAAAAAGACATCTATTTATCCTCTTTTATTTCAGGAGCTTATTTAGAATTTAGCTAACAAAACACAAGTAATCCTTCTGAATTATGAATGCAAAAATAATAATTTATAAACTCTATATAACAAATTGTCCAGCCAATGAGATCCTTCCATCAGAGTGGGTTTGACAACCTTATTTCACATATCGAATGTGTCTGGCTTCATGACAACCATAAAGAATTGCTTTGAGCCGACCTGCTAGAAACTGGCAAAATTTATTAGTCCCATCACCCATCAATCAGCCAAATGGATTTCAAACCACATTTTAAAAGCTAATTTTCCAACACTGATAACCTACATGAAACGGAGCACGATTATTTATGAAGGTTTTCAGACTTTCTAAGTGCAATAGGATATATGTCTAAGGGAGGTATTGTCTTTTATCTATTCTTTTTTAAATGGATATTTAAAGTCAATCTTTCCTCTTGGGTGCCTTGTTTAGGTTTGTGATTTGCCAGACCCGACAGTCTTCTACAAAGGGCTTTATTAACAATAGGGAAAGGAAAATATAAGACATCATTTAAAATACTGTGATAACAGGATTGATATATTTTATTGCCAAGTATATACTATTGTTATATTGAAGATTAATTTCTTCTTATGTGATTTAGTATTTATTAGAAAATAAAAGCAGAGGGTGAAAAAAAAAACTTGCAAGGATCCATTGATTCCAAATGAGGGGTTACGTTTTTTATGTGCTACATATATTATTAACAGAAACACTAAAAATGCCTTTAGGAGGGTGGTAAATATAGCATATTAAAATTCAAAAAATAAATGCATATAAATTTGAGAATATAATGGACATACTAACAGCTTTGTTTAGGTAACAAATCCCACTTGAACTTGTGATTACAATTAAACTGTAACTGTTAGTTAAACAGAGAACGTTAAGACTGGTATGTTTCTATGGGTTGTATAATATCTCTCCTGGCCATTACAGTATACCTTAGAACCGCCTTAATTGTTTGTGACATACATTTAACAATTTGTCCGAAACACTCCTCACTGATTTTTGTCAATATTGGCATGTAAAAAAACAAAACATTGAACAAGCTACAGATTCATCATCTGCATATCTATAATGCCAATCTCTTGTTCCACTTCATTCCAAAGTTTTCTATTGGACTGAGATATGATGTCTGTGAAAAACATTGGAGTGAAATGATACTGTTAAGTCAAGAAACAAAGTTTTAAATTATTAGATTTTAGTGACATTGAGTATTTTTCTGTTAACAGATTATCACACCGTGGCCATTAAGGAACTCTTGTCAGCGGAAATACTGATGAAGAGATTTTAACAATTCTCAGCTGGTTCCATGTTAGAAATGTAAACTGGGCCAGAAAAAGATCCCCACATCGTAACACCACCCCAATCTTCCAGACCTGGTCGTTCTAGACAAAATGGACCAATATTTTAAGTCTGACCCTTCCATCTGACCACATATCTAAAGCTCAGAAGGCATGTGCCCAGGCAACGTTTTAATGTCTGCCATCTAGGTGTTTCTATGCAAATTACAACTCAATTTATTACTTGCATGAGTGGACCTTCCTGTGACAGTGTTCTGTTGGATTTGTTGTGCCTTCAGAAATGGTCTCCTTCTGAATCTTGCTTGTTACCAGTGGTTTGATGAGTTAATCTTGCTTTTATACTGTCTTAAACCAGTTTGCACATGTTTTCTCATCTGTAAACAAGATGCGACACTGGATATGAAGTCTGCTCTAAGTCACTGATTTCTCTGTGCTTGACTTTTTTATGCTTTATTTTAAACTCAACGCATCTTCACCATCTATAAATGTGATGAGTTGCTACCATGTCTATGATGGTGAATGATAAAGAGTATAATTTATAAACCTAAAAGTGAATGTATACAGGCAAAATAGTGGTGTTAAGTCCATAGGACTTATGGATAGAAAAGAGTTGTGCTGAGTGGGGTTGTGTTTATTCATGAATGATTTGTGTAAGCAAACAAATCTGTGTGAAAAAGGTGAATCTCATCACTTTCATT